TCATCTTTCTCTTGCGGAGCAGCTGGTAGTTTCGAACTGCTGACCTTGCGGTTCGCAGCCTGATTTGTACCCACTATGATACCAGAGCTCCTTTGTGTATAGGATCGCTATAAGTCAGTACTGACTTGATGGCACCTAACAACATACGCCATCACATCTATTCCAACTTACAGCGACCCTGTAAGACAGAGTCCTGGTTTGGCTGTAAGATAAGCACTGGACTGGTAACTGCAAGGTTGGCAGTTCAAACCCACCAATCCCTCTTGGAAACCCTACACCAGGTTGCTATGAGTCAGAACTGATTCAAGGGGACACACCAACAACGTAGAACAGAGTAGAACTCCCTCAAGACTTTTAAAGGTGTCATCTTATAGGAGCTGACCTGCCACATCTTTCTCCTACAGGGCAGCTGGTGGGTTTGAACTGTCTACCATTTGGTGCCTAATCATTGTGCCACCAGCGCTAAATATATCAACTGCAGTTAGCTCCAACTAATGACGATCCGACGTAGGATAGAGGAGAACTGCTCTATAGCATTTTCAACTACTGTTCTTTCAGAATCAGCTTGTCAGCCTCTGGGAGGACTCTAACTTCCCACCTTTTCGTTAGCAGCCTAGAGCTTTAGCCATTTACACCAGCCAGGAACCCTGGTAGCATAGTGGTTACGAATTGGGCTGTGAACCTCAGAGTGTGCAGTTCGAAACTACCAGCTGTTCTGTGGGAGAAAGATGAGGCTTTCTGTTCCTGTAAAGATTGACAGCCTCGGAAACCCTGTACAGGATCGTGATGAGTCTGAACCAACATCACTCACTAAGTATTTAGATATTTTAATAGCGTTTACTTATTCATAGGAGCGTGGTGGTGCCAAACAATAAACATTGGGCTGTGAACCACAAGGTAGGCGGTTCGAGCCTACCAGCCGCTCCACCGTAGAAAGATGAGGCTTTCTGTTCCCACAAAAAATTTTTAAAGCCTCGGAAACCCTATACAGGATCACTATGAGTCAGACCAGATTCCATGTCACTCATCAACAACTTATTCAATGTTATTGGGAATTCAGAGAAACCTACAACAGCTCTGCTCTCTCTAGGCATTCACAGTCTTCTAGAAAGACACTGGGAAGAAGGAATGCACATAATGTTACCATGAAAATCAAGTCTGGTATGGAGCAGAAAAGGAAAAGACAGCACAGTACAGGGAAAAGATGGGGAAACGCCCCTAAAAGCACAGAACTAGTGTATGTAAACTTGAGAATGCTCATGATGTAACTGATGAACACAGAGTAGGAAGTTTGAACCAAGAAGAAATTAATACAGAACAAAATGGGACAGACCTATGGGAAATGTTACAACAACTGAACACCAAGTTAAGGATGTGGAATTTTATTCTGTTGTTCAGAAAGCAAGTCATATACTAGCTTGGGGTATTCGAGATAATTTAATTCGCAAAGGAAGAAACTTTAACATGCTTGCAAATTACCTGGGATTCTGTTCAAATGAAGAGTGTGATTCAGTTGGTTTGGGATGATCCTAAAATCATGTGTTCTAGAAGTTTCCCTGGGGATGGGGAGACAATGGACCCATGGGCTATATTTTGAGCACTGAGTATTGATGGTCGCAGCGCCAGCTTTTCTGAACTCTGCTGATCTCAGCCTCAAGGTGTTTATCCTCCTAACCTCAACCACGCAGCTTCAAACCTCTCTATCCTACCACCAACACACTTTCCCACCGTCAAGGTGGGACGTGAGATATAAAAGGTATGAGTACAGGCCATTAAACTGGATTAGAGGCTGCTAGGCAGCACCTTAAGGAGCTCTGGTAGCGGTTACGAATTGGGCTGCGAACCTCAAGGTCAGCAGTTCAAAACTACCAGCTGTTCCGTGGGAGAAAGATGAGGCTTTCTGCTCCCGTAAAGATTTACAGCCT